TGAAGAGATACAACTTGATTTATTTCTATGGAAATTATGAAGTTTCTGCTGTGATAGCCATCTGGTTTAATTTACCTCCTGTTTTGGGGTTTTGTTTATTTCATATGCAGGTTGTTCAAAACGGGGTCTCCTTTTTCCGGCTGAACCATCCCATCGTCCAGACCAAAGATTTAACAAACTGAGCAAGAACTGTTGATCACGGTATAGGGTTTTTCCCACCTAGGAGACTCAAAAAAAATGTTTTAGGAAGGAGAGGTGTGGTTAAGACCAAGCGCAATTTGTTCAGACTGTCACTATTGAGGAAGAGCAAAGCTCTACAGACACATCAGTTCACTTTAAAACAAACCCAAAGAGAATGGAACGTGAGAGAAGCAAAGGTATGAACTGGCAGGTTAGGTTGTTCCTACTTTGAGCACTACGTGGGCTGTCAAATTTCTGCTAGCTAATTGGTCTTAAAATAGAGCTGAGAACTGGGTTACTTGGGCATTTGAGCATAGCTGGAATTCAAGCTTTCAGAGTAGTCTGCGTTGCGTCTGATGTGACAATCTGTGTTCATACCCACATCACCTTGGTTCTGCTGTTGCTTCAAATTCTTTTGGTTAACTAAGTATGGGCACATTAAAAGTGGATGTTTTCCCCACCCAGTAGATACTCCCGTAATGTGCAGACTCAAAGCCTCTGTAATACAGAGACTAAATGTTTTCCAAGGACAAGCTTAGAAAGTTTGCCTCTTGTTTCATATTATTTTTAAAATTCATACATTTTCTCGACTTTAAATAGAAAATAAGACATAATAAAAATAAAATTAATGTGAATATGCAGATGGTTTGATTTTCTGGGATTCCATTGTGTTATTGTAGGATTTTTACTTCCAAGAATTATTTGATCCTTGAATAAAAATATTATGGTACTATTAAAATGTAGGCATATATTTATTTAAAATGTTCAGCCATGAAGTTTACTCCTCTCCCCTGCCCCCTCATCCATTCTCCTTGCTTTTGGCCAGGCAATTCCTCAGGAATGTTTCTCTATTTCTTCTTAAAGAAATCAGGTCCTCCAGGTCAAAAAGGAGATTACAAAGATTTCCCAAGGATAAAACAGTTAAATTGCCATCAGTCTCTAAGGCAGTTAGCTCTGCAGTCTGGTGTTTCTGTCTTTGCATTGCTTTTCCTCTGAGAATGCCTCTAAGACCTGGTAGTTAAAAGTATAAAAAAAATTTAACAAGACCATCCATAATGATAAGTTTTATTGCGCTATATTTACAGTATTTAACTGTTCTCCAAGTAGTGCAAGGATTTGGAAGGTCTAAGTAAATTCCCATTAAGGAAAAAGAGGGCAATAAATTTTTCAATAACGCTGGTGTTGCCTTACTGTGAGAGGCACTGGCAGTTAATGAATATGAATTAAATTCCATTTAAAAGATTTGGGATCCTTTTATTTCATTGACAGTTGTGAACTAAAGCTGTAGATCCCACTATTTTAATCAATTGTGATTATTAATAATTGTTATCATCTGAAAACTGGTGGTGCCTGGAAGACATGGCGTTACAATTACCACACTTAATTCTAAGGGCTTAATTCTGTCTCAGCCCAAGGTCTCAGAGGGAGTACAGCTGTCAAGCATTACCAAGCCTCCGGCTGTCCCTCTTTGGCTGGAAGGTAAAGCATGCAGATTCCTCCAGTCTCTTCTGTGGGTGGCTAGTGCTGCTAAAAAATAGGACCTCCAGGAGTGCAGTTAGGTCATCTCCTAAATTTGCTGGTTTGGATGCCCTCAGAGGGGTCAGCTGGAGTTTATCTTTAGTAAATAAATAAATAAATAAAATCCTCAAACTAATGCAAGACAAGACATAGAAAACAGAGTGATATTGAGATATGTGTAGCACAAAACACAACAGATTTTTATTTTCCCTAAAACAGGACCTTTCTATTTATGCAGTTCTGTGCAGCGGCAAAATGCAGTTACCTGCTTGAGCTGTGTCTTTTCGGTAAAGTGTATGCTTTTGTACACACATACACACACAGAGTAGTAGAGTTCTAATTCACTCTGAAGACAACAAGGTCCATAAAAGGTGTGTAACCTGTGTAGAGCACTCTGGTATGGTGAATATGCACTTCACTGGTTTCTGAGGACTCGAGGAGCAAGAGCATCATCAGTTTCCAATAGTTAGAACTTCAGCCATGTTTGAGGCTACTGATGAGTCCAGGAAACATCCAGAAAGTGACTGATTATACCCCTTTGTCTCAGGGAAGCATGCCATCACTTGCACTGGTGTGAATCTTGGCACCAAGTTTCAAAGGTTAATATGAATAATAATAATTCAGAAAGGGCGCCACAGCAGTCTAATGCTAAGGGACATTTAATGTACTACAGGCTGTTAAACTCAGAATAAACTCTAGTTGTTGGAGTCAAAAATGATGCAATAAAATAAATAGACTGTTTCAGTTGGAAAGGACCTACAACGAGCATCTAGTCCAACTGTCTGACCAGTTCAGGGCTGTGCAAGATAAAGAGGTTATTAAGGGCATTGTCCAAATGCCTCTTAAACACTGACAAGCTTGGGGCATCAACCACCTCTGTAAGGAGCCTGGTCAGGTGTTTGACCACCCTCTCAGTCAAGAAATGCTTCCTAACATCCAGCCTGAACCTCCCCTGGTGCAGCCTTGAACCATTCCGATGCACCCTCCCACTGGATCCCGGGGAGAAGAGCTCAGCGCCTCCCCCTCCTCTTTCCCTCCTCAGGAAGCTGCAGAGAGCAATGAGGTCACCCCTCAGCCTCCTTTTCTGCACACTAGACAAACCCAGAATCCTCAGGTGCTCCTCACAGGACATGCCTTCCAACCTTTCCACCAGCTCTGTTGCCCTCCTGTGGATGCATTCAGGCTCCTTAACATCCCATTTAAATTGTGGGGCCCTGAGCTGCACACAGTGCTCCAGGTGAGGCTGCACAACGCTGAATACCATGGGATAATTGCTTGTGTTGACTGCCTGGCTGTGCTGTGTTTGATGCACCCCGGGGTGCAGAGGTTTGCCCTCCGGCTGCCAGGGCATGCTGCTGGCTCATGCTGAGCTTGCTGTCAGGCAGCACCCCCAGGTCCCGCTCTGCAGGGCTGCTCACCAGCCACTCCCCTCACAGCCTATACTTGTGCCCAGTGTTACTGCATCCTAGGTGCAGAATCCGGCATTTGGACTTGTTAAATTTCATCCCATTAACCATAGCCCAATGGTCCAATCAATCTAGAGCCCTCTGCAAGGCCTCTTGTCCCTCAAGAGAGTAAACAGCACCTTCCCATTTGGTATCATCAGCTTGCTAATGGTTCATTCAACTCCTGCAGCCAGATCGTTGATAAGTATATTGAACAGAACTGGCCTTAGAACTGAACCTTGGGGAACACTGTGGGTGACCACTTGCCAGGCAGATGTAGCCCCATTCACTGCAACACTTTGAGCTCTGTCCTTCAGGCAGTTCTTCACCCAGCACTCCGTGAACCTGCTCACCCCACAGCTGGGCAACTTATCCAGAAGGACGCAGTGAGGGACAGTATGAAAAACGTTACTAAAATCCAGAAAAACTACATCCACTGCCTTCACTTCACCCACTAAGCAGGTGACCTTATCACAGAAGGTTATCAAATTAGATAAACCAGGCTTTCCCTTTGTGAACCCATGACGACTGTGCCTGATGATGGCATTATTCTTTAAATGCCTTTCAATAGTACCCAGTATAACATTCTCCATAATTTTTCCAGGAACTGATGCTAAACTAACAGGTCTGTAGTTCCCTGGGTCTTCTCACACCCTTTTTGTAGATTGGAATAACATTGGCTAGCTTCCAGGCCCCCAGAAGGCCCAGGGTCCTGGAACTCTTTGAAGGAGACTTCCCCACATTTGTGTAAGGAGGGTTTATTCACGAACATGCATGTGGAGATGTGAGACTGGGATCATCCATGCTACAGAGTTGCACCACTTCAGCTGGAGTTGTCTTTCAAAGAGAAGGCAGCATGAAAATCATTATTGCAGTGCTAACATACTTTAATTAGGCTTAGTCAAACCAAGTCCTATTTAATTTAAGACTAACTAACTCGGTTCAACTGAACATTTTAGTATTTGACTTAAACTAAGTGTAAGTCATTCTTGCTGAAATGAAGATGTTGATGGACCAACTGCACAGACTGGGATTAGTATTTTAGACTCTGTTGCAGTTTTTTCCCATTAGGAGAGTTCATTTAAAGTGGTTTGGGGTTTTTGTTCTGCCTCATTCCCCTTGTGCTGTTTACATCCTTAAATTTTAAGCTAAAATATTCAAGAGCTCCTTGAGAAAAATAATATTCTTATTCTTTCTTTCTTTCTTATGCTACTCTGGTATTCCCTCGAGATTTTTGTTTTCTAGTATTCTGAAAGCATATTCCTGGAGTTTTTCAGTGGCTTATTTCCAGTTCTTTTTGAATCTTTACTGTTGAACTCTCAAATATCCTACATGTGTATTCTTATAGATGTAAATTCAGAATACTGTGGGTTTTTAAGATTAGAGTTTCTGACTGTTGCTCCATCCTCTCTGGTGATTTTGTTCCAATTTATTTGCAAAACCGAGCCTGTTTTCTGAGTTCACTATGAGTTTCAGGTTGAAAATGCAGTAATCTCAATTATCTCTTTTTTGCTCATCATTGAGGAACTTTTAACTAAATTATTAAGTGCCTTACATGGTTTGCAGTGCAATAGAAGGGCAAATTCCAAATGAGTTGGAGACACGTTCTCCCTAAAGACAAGGAGGCTGAATGTTTGTTTATAGGTGCGTGAAACTAAAGTTTCAAGCTATGAATGTTTTGATATTAATGACTCTGGAAAGGAAAATTTCTTTGTCAAATTGTGAAGGCCATCTTAGTTTAATATTTACATTGCTACTGTGTACTGATGGGATGAAAAAGAAATATTTTTATTGTACCGTTGTGAAATTTGTGATTTTGTATGAGCTCATTTTGTGCTTTGAGCTAGTCATTACGCTATGAAGTTACCATATGTGTCTGTCTTCTGCTTCTTTCTTGCCTACATTTGTCAGAAAGAGAAGCCTATTCCTGTTGTGTAGTCTAATGCTGTGAATGTCCTTTTTATAATTGAATTATATAAATAACCAAATCTAGTACATTTTACAGTATACTTCCTGAAGCAAACTAGATGGAATACTTTTTAATAATCATACAGGCATTTGATGATTTTTATACTTGCCATTTGAAGACATTTTGGATGTAGATTGATATAGAATTACTTAAAATACTGTATATAAATTAAATATTAAAAAGGTAGATGCAGCCAGACTAAGCAGTTCAATTATAATCTTTGGTTATGTAGTTACTGCCTCAAGGACACTCCATCCATTTCATATCATATGTCCTTCTTTTGAAAGATGATCAGTGAGTTCAAGTAACATTTCAGCACACAGGAAATTGCATAATTTATAGACTTTTTGAAATGAAAAACAGAAAACTGGTTTTCAGACATTAAATCTCCTTCTCTTTTTTTCTTCTCTCCCCTTACAGATTGGAACACTGAAGGATTACTACCACTTCTATCATAGTAAAACAATTAAAAGGTCAGTTCTCTCAAGTAGAGGTACCCACAGCTTCATTTCAATGGAACCAAAGGTAAGAAAATCCATGCATGTGTCTGAGGCAAAAGCCTTTGCATTTTTTATATGAAATATCATACCAGAGGACATTCACCTGAATGGCATATAGCATTACAAGAACTGACACACTATCTGTTCGCTAAGGTTCTGCTTCTCATTAAAATAAAGTGAAGACAATACCATGCTATTAAGTATGTGCAATTCTTGGAACATAAGATCCAACATATTCATGGAGGAGTACAGGAATTTTGTTAATGCACTAATCACTGTGCTGTGCTTCTCTGAAAAACCACATGTGTAACATTCATGTCTGCAGATCTCGTTCTGTAATTCTGTAAGCCTTTGGAATGAAGATGCGCAATGTGGGATGGTGTGGTGTTCAGAGGAAAGTTTCTCTTGCTTTTTTTCTGGTCATTTTCTGGACTTCGTGTATGAGGGATTAAAATAAGAATGCTCTTTTCTGTGGTCCTTTTGGCAGTTTTTACTGATCTTAATTTTAAGATCTGTTTGAAAAATGTTGCATCTTTGGAATATATACTACAATAGGTGACTGTCAACATAATTTAATTACTGATTTACAGTTAAGTATAATATTGTCTTGTGTCTATACCCAAGGCACACTTTTGTTTTAATCCTTTAATTTCAGTGGTTAGTAGCTTCATTACTGACCGTAGAACTGGGTTTCCTCTGGTTTTGTTTTAGAAAGGAAGCTTGACGAAGATCCCACTAGCTTTTATGCTGTTCATGCAACCCACTCTCATCAACAAACCCCCAAGTCACTGGTGTTTTTCAGTGGAGAAGACAGAGTCAAGCTTTTTTTAAGTCCTTGGATGATGAATGATGTCTGTGAAGGATTTGTTAGGTTTTACTTGGCAAACAATTTACGAGAAGTAAAAGTTATCAGTAAAAGACTGTTTGAATACTGTAGATGTACAGTGTAGAAGTTGAGGATTATACAGGAATACTTCTGCGGTCTGGAAAGCCGTATTTAGGGCTGAAGTTCCTCATGAGAATAGGACAAGACTAGGAAAGTGCATACAAAATGCGTTCACCCCTGCATTGACAGGGCTGAACTGCTTAACCCTTTAAGAGCACCAGCAGCTCTGCTGAGCAGTGTATTTTGGGGTTTAGTACAAAAATGATCAGGGCTGAAATCTCTGTTCCCATGAGTGCTGAGACGCACCATTCAAACAAGTGCTGCACTTAGAATAGGCGATACTGCAAAACGAAGAGGAGGTGTTCACGTATGTGTCATACCACACCCTTTCACGTGTGCACAAAGGTGGAGCCATTTACACACAAATGCGCAAATTCACATGCGTGCACCACCATAAACTTTGGTGTTACACCTGGTTTTCAGATACCCCTTCTGCACCTCTGGCAACCAGCCCAGACTGCTGTGGCCAGAATCATGAGAGACTCTAAGACAGAGCACAGCAGAAAATCAGAGCCATCATTTATTTTCCAGCGCTTTCCATGGTATGCCATTTAGTCCCTGCCCCCTGTCTGCGCTGCTGCTGGTACAGCATTTCTGAATAATTGTTAAATATCACTTTAATATTGAGAAGCTCTTGTGAGGGTTGTGAATGCTACTGAACCTTGTTAATGATTCTGTACCCAAAGAGAAGACAACGGTCAAATACCTAGATCTGGCAAAAGTGATTGTGATTAACTTTGTGACTACTCCACTGGACCTGGGTTTGGGAATTCTTGTGTGGCTGCAGACATGTCAATACACAGACACACACTTGTAGAATAAAGGGCAGTTTGTCCTGAGTATGTATAACATTTAATCATTATTAAAGCAGACTGAAAATTTAATGGTATTATATGAGCTGGACCTTTTAAAAACAAAATGTTTAATCTTAAAGAAAGCACATTGCATGGCTGTGAGAACTTTAAAGGACCAGTACTAGATGCTGTTATATTTATGAGTGTGACTGTATCTAATGCCAATATTTGCAGCAGTTTAGATGGCATGTGTGTTTGTGAACAAAGGAACACTGAGGTCTGTTTACTTTCCAGATCATTTAACAGTAGTTTACTTAATGCTTAGAACCCTCTCCGTGTAACATGCACACACAATTAACTTGATCTGTGCTTGCTTCAGATGTGGATCACTAATTTGCTTCTTTATGGAATTTTAAATGATGGAATTTTTATTGTGGTAATTCACTGTGTAAATAACCTGCATGTAATGGAACAACCATTATGAAATCTGGTATTTCTGAGCTACTTGTGTGGATAGTGTTTGATTTCACTGTGTGAATGCACAGGGAAAGTTATATAAGTAATATAAAATCTTGCTATTAACGGATTTCAATTAATGAATTGCTTTGAAAATCTTTGGCTTGATTTTTTGTCTTCTGGAAAAGCCTCTTGACACTGTTATAAACAGTATGAATAGATCTAACAGGGAATGTAAACTGAAGACATGTGGTTTACACATTTTGAGTATTTTCTTGCTAACGAAACATTACTCTGATAAAAGATAAAGGATATGCAGTGTAACAAAATTTTGTCCATTATCATCCACATCCTTGCCTAGCAATGTTATATGTTGTCATTTGAAGATGAAATGGATTAAGTAGTTTTAGGAAGAGATGCCCAAAAGAAGCTTTAATGTCCCTAACATAGATTGTCATGTAGGTGATTTGAAACATACCTTTATCCACAGCAGGTTTTCTAAGCCTGTGTGTAGTTACATGGTGTTTCCTATCCGTTGACAGAAAAACAAAGAAGTGAGAGAAGTTTGTGGATTCAAAGCAGAGATTAGTACTATCTATCAAAGCTAAGCGTTGAATGAAATCTCTTACAGAGATTTTGGGTCTCTCCAGCTGATATGGTTCTTGTGGTTAGCCTCTGGCAAGGGTCAATGAAAGCACCATACCATGAATCGAGAGCATTTTTTAGCTCCATAGTGTTTGCTTAGGAGAGTTATTTTGGTGATGCTACAATGCATGAAACAATGGGAGCAGGAGTGAAAAGGAAGTGGGAAGATGGACAGAATCAGTCCATAGCTGGAAAGTATCGTGAAGCTCTAATGCAACTATTAAATAGTTGAGTTTGTTGCTGGTAGGCCATCTATTGAAATCAGACTATTACAGTGCTTCCAGGGGTGGGAATAAAGAGCTGTGGTGCACCTCTAGTTTTGCTGCAGTGGTGAAATGAACAATCACAAAATGGAAAAAATTGTTAAAAAAGATTGCAACCTCAATGTGTAAATCAGATTTTACATCAATACAAAGCATTAGCAAAATCATGTGGAGCTTCTCTATCACTGAAGAGATTGCCGTTCCAATGAAATGTCAGAGCTGAAGCACCTACGCATGACAATAATAGACAGAAGTTAAATGAACAGTATAGATGAGAAAGCTGTCTTTTTATACCGAACTGTTATGTGAGATGAAGAGTTTGTAGTGAAGGGCTGTGATAATGAAATTTGTTATTCATATGGTGAAAAATATCCCACAGAATCAAGTAGCATAAATGACACAGCAATAATCCTGGAATAACTCAATTCTTAAGGTAATAAAAGGGAGCTTTAAGATTGATAATATATTCAAATTGATGTACATACAAACTAAAGTTTTTTCCATTTTGTTTAGAGGTTCCCAGTGCTTTGCATCACAACAGAGATCAGAAAAAGACATGGCCCACAGCAATGCTCGAAAATTTAAAATTAATAATTCATGTTCCTGTAAAGTGTCACATTTACTAATGGGAAAACACTTCAGAGAATTAGTGTTTGTTTATCAATCTCAACTAAGATGACATCTCATATTTTTTTAATTTTAAGTCATTTCACGTAGATTTATTTGGGATTTGAACTGCTGGATGATGAGTCAGGTTCACTCATCTTTTAGAAATGGAAAGGTTTTCAGTCTCATTTCCACTGCAATAAGAAGTAAAGCTATGGAATTTCAGCAAGATATCCTGCTTAAGCAGGATTTTACAGAAGTATCATGCCTTTGTCACCTCTGCTTCAGGATCAAAATACCTGGGGAAACATTACTCCAGACATTTACATTTTACCCAGCCTGACCTAACCACACACAGAGCAGATCTGTGTGACTTGGTGATGAAAAAATGTTAGTACCATATGTGGGAGGGATTCTTACCTTTGCCATAACAAGCTGAACAGAACTGGTGGTAGCAGCATGTAAAATGCTGGCAAGCATATCTTTGATGAGATAAAATCAAATGATCTGGACTGTCTTCAGAGGATAGGAAAGTAATGCGAGAATCCTGTCATTATTACTGGTAGGACATTGTGGATGTTCATGAGAGGGCAGAGCGGAGCAGAATTGTAGCAGTCACGAGTAAATATTTCATCACATTCATATTGCTAAAAAAGATCCTGGGTTGATCTGGGAGATAACTGTCTAAAGAGGAGGGGAAAAAGTGGATTTCACCACAAGGTGATGGTCTTGCTTTGGCAAGGAGTATGCCACTGCTTGTAGAGTGTGCCTTTGGGAAACATACATTCGATCACTCTGGATCAGACTGTTCATTGCAAATAGAGAGGAGCGTTAAAATTTTCAGTGCTAAGAAGATAGTCACCAAGTTGTGTTTTCCAATTGTTTATGAATTTAGTTGTTCCAAGATTGCAGTATGAGGTTGAGTAAGGAGAAAATGAAGCTTTCAACAATTTGGATTTAGTGTAGGGGGCACAAAATTCAGCGGGAATGAAGAATGTTATTACAGTGCTAAAACCACGGGCTTTTAAAAGCCAGCGTCATGGACATAGAGCTCAGAGAAATTCAGAGAAGGGTGTTGTTATGGGTAAGGTTGTGTTTCATATTGGTAATGCTAAGTGTTAAGTTGTTAAACCTCATTAGTGAACAAAAAATTTTGTTAGCCGAATAGAATAACACGACAATTAAAGACTGGGACCAGGTGAGTTACTGATGTCTACCTGGGTAGCCGTAGTCTGTACAAGTACTCAGAGGACAAAGAATCAATACTACTCTACTTGGTTGCAAAACAATAGGAACTGTCATACTGTTTTCCATG